AGTCATAGTCATTATTTCCTTTCCAAGATATGACTGCATGACATAAGATGCTATTTCCAAAATTAAACAACTTAAAAACAAATCCAATCAAAGAATATCCAAAAGGGTGGGGCGTGCCACCCTTATGTGGCACGTGTGGCCCCCCACCCACATGCCACATGGTGGGCCCATGTGCATTGTGGGCCCCAATGGAATTTTTATAAAAATATATTATTTTAAAATTGAATAAAATAATTTAAAATATATATTTAAATTTTTATAACTTTGTAAAAACAATAACTGTATTTTTATAAGTAAAAAAATCACAAATAAAATATTGAGAGATTCATAAAAAATTCAAATAATAAAACCAAAGTCATTTTAATTATAAAATGAACACAATTAAATTAATATAATGGGAAAAAGGATCCATATGGTTTTAGGAATTCAATCTGTAAATATGGGGTACTCTACCTCCAACTGTGGACTACAGACCACACTAGCTTTATCGAACCGACCCAGTGTATCCCATTACTACAGTCCAAGCAAGGGCTCATTAGCAGGTCACTAAAGTCAGGTCGATGAATCAAGGTTCCCAGTCTGTGGATTACAGGTCTTCCCCTAGAGACGAGTCAAGGTCACCACGATCTGATGCGACTATAGCTCTATGGCGCATAGGGGTATCTCTCGCACATGCATACGCTTCACCCAAAGGTGGATATCTGGTTTTCCCGAACGATCTATCGATATGTATGCCGTGTGATGGAACATGGATGAGGTTTTGGATCCCGTCTCAATAGGTTTATCATCACACATAAGGGTCACACAGTCTATCGCCTCACTCATCTAGGCATAAGCTCCGACCTCATCAAGGGCTAACCCAAAACCCTCATCGGTTAATTCTTTATGCCTAGGTACTTTGGGTTTCCAATCGACTGACCTAGATAGATAAATACAGTCCGGTGTAAGCAAACATAATTCGCTTAGTCAGGTCCCCGAGGGACCACACTCCCACTGAATTTATGTTTTACTATAATAAAAGTATTTCAATACACACTCATAAGGCCTTTAAAGGCCACATAAACCTAACATCAGATATCTATGTTCTTGCCGTAATATATACTAAAGAAACCGCTAAGAGAAGACGGCTACCCATATTATTCCTTAATCTATAAGGCCCAAATTACTAGTTTGTATCTTCATACCGCATGATTTTGGAAAACATATTTTAGATAAGGATACAGTTTCTCTAAGATTATCACATTATTTTTAGAAGTAAGGTTTTGATGTTTTGCCCTATCAATTTAGTTGGAAAATATAGATTTGACATGTCTTTAAGATGGTAAAAAAAATGACATATCTTTTGAGAGAGTAAAATCTATATTATCCAAAATAGATGGTATAGATTACTACAATCTTACCTCTACAAAAAAGATGTATAACTTTAAATAAGTTTTTTTGCTTTAAATATAATTTAGAGGGATTTGAGCATCATAGATCCTCTATGGCCATAAGCATCATCTTATGTGGAAATTTTGTGTTATTTTTCTTTCTCCTTGAAATAAAAATAAAAATAAAGAGGGCTTTGCGAAAAGAAACCGGCATCAAAGAACAAAATGTGATAATGAACTAGGTTAAGTCGTGAAAATGAACAAGGGAGGATAAAATAGTCATTAATTTACCATGAACCTATGCAAATTATGTAGTCAAAAGATATTACACTCCCACATAAGTTTACATTACGTTTACTCTAGTAAAATCTCATCTAGAATTAACTTTAGGGCCCTAAAATTTGGGTATGTGACCTTTTCAACCCACAGACTAACCTCAATAAAAATAATTTTCTAATTGTAACATCTATGCAACTTGAAAAAAAAAAATGTCTTGACGTTGAATAGAGATCACCCAATTTGTAGATGGTAAGATCTAAGTGTTAGCATAACTAAAATTCCAAATTTTTTTTTAGAATAATCTAGTGATTCTTAAGTGGTTTTCGAATTTCCAGCTTGAAAAAATCCTCCCAAGCAGATTTCTAACAGAGGGAGTACAATAAACTATGCTCCTAAGGAAGCATCATATACGTGGCCAATTATGTAATGAACAAGCTTTTTATGCTTCCCCTACAACATAAAACTTATATACTTCTTCTTATCCAACCATCCATTCTGAATGGAGGGTTCAGATTCTTCCAATCAGAATGTCATGTCTCTACACTATTTTATTTTTAATTTTTTTCTATAAACTATTTTGACAACAAAATTTGGACGTCCAATCCTCTATTAAACTCGCACTAGAGAAAATATAATTTTTTTTTTCAATAAAATAAAATGACCAAAATACTCCTAAAAGATTCAAGGGGTATTTTGGTCATTATATTTTATTGAAAATTTATTTTTAATATTTTTTATAGGTGTTTCCCAATGAAAATATGGCGCATACCAAATTTCATATTCATACAATTTGTATAAAAAAAAAACTAAAAATAAAATACTTTAAGACATTAGATCTCAGATCAAACGGTGAATGACTCTCTTGATCAAAATTGGATGATTGGATGGTAGGGGAAGCATAGATTTTATATGATTTAAGGGAAGTAATCACAACACTTTAGTCGGTGGTTCTTTCAAAGACAGCAAAATCTCTACTTTTCAAAGATATGCACCAAACTTGTTTTGAAAATCAACTCTTGGCATGAGGTTGTTGACACAATTACGCACATATAAAATAAAAAAAGTGCAGTTATTGTTGTATTTGCAACCTTGTGATGTTTAAGAAGTTGCCTTTTGTTGGTTTTCCGAGACTATATTTTTTTTAAGGTAGATAATAAATGCTTGCCCTTGCCCAACTAATTTAGTAGGTTCCAACTAGGGGTGGCAAGAGGTCTAGGTCCACCTAGACCCAGACCCGAAAAAATAATATGGGACCCTGAGCTGAATGGATATGGACCTGAAAATATAGTGTGAAACCTGGATGCGATTCAAAAATTAAAATATCTATGTATTTAACTATATTTAAATGTACTTTATATATTGGCATTTGAAAAATGTTACCGGACTTGGTTCTAGATAGTGTTCAGGTCCAAGACTTGGACCTAGACCCAACCTGACGGATGTATTTTTTGACCCATATCCAAACCTAGATCGGATCTCGAGTCCATTGCCATCCCTAGTTCCAACTCTTCTTTTGAGCCTTTGAGATTTTTATTGGTAAATGTGCTTGTATTAAGTGTTTGGTAAGAGCATCTAACCTTCCACCTTGAAGAATGCAATTCCTATACGGCCTAGGCTTTTATGTAAATAAAGCATCACCTTGTATCCTCGTGCATAAAAAATCTTTATATTAGCTCTAAGATCAATTTTCAACACCAACTATGAAATTTGAAATAAAAAATTATACTGATCTTGCGAATATGTGAACATTTATTCTTAGGGTGAAATGGATAGCTTAGATAATTTTTTACAATTTACACTATATTCAAGGCTTGAAATTTTTTTCACAACCATATGGTTGTGGCTGATATGATCGATTTGAAGATTTTCCAACACCAGAATTGTGATTTGGAATGAGTTTGGAGGTGAATCTTTATTTTGTTTTGATCAGACTGCAGCCCTCTCAAACCATCTTGCCCCCATAAATCGGTTATGAAAATTACGACCAATAACCGAAGCCCCACATTATTTCGAAATTTCAACATGGTAACCTTCATATATTCTTGTCGAACTTTTTGTTGTGTATAATTTCTTTTATTTGTTTTTATCTCAATCTCTATTTTTCTTAAATTTTGCTAGATTAGTCGGTGTACCTCTCATTCCAATTCTTGAAACAATGCATCAAGACATCAAATGCGGCCTCAATTTTGGTTCAAATTAGTACTCTATTGGAACTACCGCACATTTTGAAATCAACGAAGTACTTCTACCAAAATTTGATAATCATCCTTAAAGTAGAACTAATTGAGAGGGTATGAAATTTTTTTTTTTTGGGTACAAAATTTAATTGAGGGTCTGATCTTTCTCATGTTTTTAATTTATATCTAACTTTCATATTGAAATTCCTCACAACCAAACCAAAAAATTCATTTTACTAGCATATGAATATATATCATCCAAGGTTTTTTAAAACAGATTGATGACCAAGATCGCGCTTCCAAGTTTCTGATCCAATTCGGTGGATCAGCAATCTGGTCTACTGGACTGGTCATTAAAAATTCTAAAAATTGAAAAGAAAAAGGTCGAGACAAAGAACCGGCTTTGTCATGGGTGTACCAGTCCGTTCTTGATATTTTACAAAAACCGGTTTGTCCTTGACGACTCCGGATATCATCCTATACTGCCAACCCACACTTTGGTATTTTTATATGGGAAAAGTTTATGTAGAGCCTAAGCTCTAAATAATCAAATTAGAGCCTACCTCAGAAATTTAACTAGAAAAGGTTGTTTTGATGCTCAAATATCCTCAAATTGTTCATCTCAACATCCATATGCATCAAGATACATGGGCTCGAAAAAAAAAAGATTTGAAATTTTAAAAATAGTACATCTTGTAACATATTTTTTGGACGGTCAATTTTTAAAACTTTCATAGATCTGCTCAATCTACACTATTTTTGGAGCTTTAAATTTTATAATTAAAGATGAAAATATATTTTAAGGCTAATCAAATATGCCCAGTATTGAAACCATATTTCTTGATACTATTTGAAGGTGGGCTCTAATGTGATTGTTTAGAGCCTCGGTTCCGTACAAACCGCACCTATATGTATTTCACCACTCTTGAAGCAAGTGCCAATTTCAAAGCTGAAAAAGGATAGAGAGTCCTTTTAGAAAGCGAGCAGTAAGGAAGTAGGTAAAGGTGTAGGTCAAAACGTTTCAGGAAAGAATGGATGAAAGGTCTTTTTATTATTGTAAAGTAATGTATGTGATGTTTCGGGGAAAAGCAAACATCAACAAAGTTAAATAACTCCTCATCTCTAACAATCAAACATAAATAATCATCTGATCTCAAGACAAGAAGAACCCTCAAACAGACAAATGTCAATACAAATTAATATTAAACTGCCACTCAAATAATGCAAAAGATTAATAACATCTCAGATAGTTAGTCCTATTAAGACATAAACAAAAGAGATGGCCTCGGCCTGTACAAACACTAAACCAAATCCCCCAAACTTGAAACACAACCCTTAAAACTTGCAAAAAAAAACCATTCTTCTCTGCAAATTTGTCCGACCAGACCCAAAGGAAATCGCAATCCCACAAAAACTTACAAACATAATACAATCTCATTAGCGAGTTTAAAAAATATAGAAACTCACTCTGATCTGACTTTTTTTTTTTTTTAATCCAAGTTTAGATCACTCAAAACTGTACATGCCGTGCACCCTGTATATACAGCCAGTTAGTAAATACCTCTAAGACTCTATGTTGCTTTAGCGGGTTTCACTCTAATCATCGAAGGCTTCCTCGTGTCAGATACTTTCGTTGCGAGGTTCCCGCAGGTAACGAAGCAGGGTAGCAGCCTGCAATGAAGATCATAATGTTAAGACACAGCAGATTAGATTAAAGCAAGAGTAGTTCAGCATGTAGTCAAATGCTCAAATGTTACAGTTATGGCTATGGTAAAAAAAAAAGGAAAAAGAGAAGAAAAAAAAAAGAAGGGGGGGTCCAGAATATTGCTCAAGAAAGATGGAAGGATTTTATTTAATATTCCAATTTATGAGAAACTTGAGAGACTATATAGATCCAATGATTGTGTTTTGAGAATTGGGTCTTTGATGCATTTTAGTGGTAATGAGTATTGAGGACTAGGAAGGTGAAGGCATACTTTTTGGTAATTTATAAAATCAATTGAGAAAGCAGGTGGGCAAAGCTGAGAGTTCAAACTTCAAAGCGCTATTTAAGTTCTGTGCTTTACTTTGGCTGGCCTAAAAAAATGGCCCTTTCTTTTGGGTAGGTAAGCATGGTTTCTGATTCCTCCTTATTATTTTATGGTAGGTAAGGGTGGGTTCCAATGGATGAGAAAGCTCTATAACATTGGGTTAAAAGATAAAACCATGCAGAAAAATAAATTAATAGAACAATAGGAACCCACTACAAGAAGGCAGCTTTTGCTTTTACGTCTTTTAAATGGAAGAGCAATGGCTGAACAATGCAGTATGGGCATCAATTTCCAAGACAAATGGACTCATTTTGACACCAGAAAACCACTGAAAAGAACGAAGAAAAAAAAAGCCAAATGAAATTCAGACGCTTAAGGAGGCTTGTGAGTAAAGCACTATTTACAATCATTTTTTTGCTTCAAATAATCTAATGTGTAAAGAATTAGATCGGGCAATGCAAGTATTTAGGTTGTACTATTTTATGAACATCTGGTTTTCTAAATTTAAAAGAAAATATATAGCAAGAAATCAAGCATTTTCAATCTTCCAATTACAAAATATGGTGAACTAATTGAAAAATAAGCAAGGAGCTTCAATGAAAGAGTGAATCATTAATAAGCACAATGCACTAACAGAGGGAACAGCCGATGAAATGGAAAATCAGTATTAAATTACTAGAAAAGCCAAGACTTATAAAAAAAAATGTTTGGAAAACTTGAAGAGGTATGATAAGATCGGTTAGTTTACAGATACTATTTAGTAAATTTGTAGTTTTCTGTTTTCTTCTCCACTATCTCTTTACACTTACTTATTTTCCTCTGCTTCTCGACTTTAGTTTTCACAAAATCGTATACCGAACAACAAAGTGGGTTTATAACGGCCAAACTTGCAAATTCAACCAATTTTTTGAAGCATAAAAGGAAAACTCAGCAGATTTATCGCCAACTTGGGTTTTCAGTGGAATCGAATGTCAGTTGACAATCAAACTGACAGGAATGGAAAAAAATTACAAAACAAATAAAGAAATACTCAGCCAACTTTTGGGAAGTGAAACCCCAAATGACTTGAAAACAAAAAAAAAGCCGTAAGAGTTTATAGCCTTTGAATAATTTCATGAAGGAATAGGTCAAGGATCAAGTTCCTCCCAGAAACCTAAAATAAAAGCCAACTTGGAGCGGAAAAAAAAAAAAGAACCTTGTGAATTTGTGTTTCTTTCAAACATTGACAATTCTGTTGAGTGATTTACTAAATTCTTCTTAGCTCTTTTCCAATTTTCTTCCCATTGATCCCCAATTCTGTTGAGTGGAGAGAGAAAATTACAGTGCAATAGGAAGAATTTGGGCTTGTAAGAGAGAGGGGATTGTAGTGCACTAGGGAGAATTCGGACGAGAGAGAGATTACCTTATGCTTGGCCCTTGCAGTCCCACTCTGCGACAAGGCAACAAGAGGAGGGATCGCCCCCTCCCTAATCAACATCCTCCTACACTCGCTACTCCCTCCACAAAGATGAACCAGTGTCGAAGCCGCAAACTCCTTCCCCTTCTCAGAACCATCCTCAATCACCTCAACCAAAACCTCGATCCCACCTACTTCAACAATGGCCTTCTTCCCTGCTTCAATCCCCACCAAACTACTCAACACGACCACCGCTTTATCTGTAACTCCCCAACCTCTCTCTCCAACCATCTCAACCAAAACCCTAACAACCCCTGCATTCACTGCTCTCTCTTTGTTAACCCTAACTGAACAGAGCTTGTACAGAGTAGTCAATGCATCTTTTTTACCTCTGCTTGATCCTGTCATGAGAAGAGCCACAAGAGAAGGGATTGCACCTGCTGCTCCTATAGAAATCTTGTTTTCTTCTATGAAAGCGAGGCTCAACAGGGCGCAAGCTGAGTTTTGCTTGGCTATGGCGGTTCCAGTTTTGAGGACATAGACCAGAGGTTTAATGGCCCCAGATGATGTGATCGCCGCCTTGTTGGCTTCGTATAATGAGAGGTTTAGAAGAGCTGTTACTGCGTTTTCTTGGGTTAACGGGTCATGGCTACGGAGGAGCTTAACCAGAGGGAAAATGGCGCCAGAGCTCCCAATAAGAGCGCGATTTTCAGGGCGATTCTTAGCCAAAAGCCTCAGTTTTCCAGCTGACATTCTCTTCAATGAATCAGAAGGGGATTCAAGGTTCTTAATCAGTGCTTTCACCAGAGGATCGAGCTCTACAAGTTCTAGGGTTTCACAGGCCTCTACGCAAATGTCCTCTGGCTTCTGAGACCCCAGATGGTCATCATTTTCGCAGGAAAATCTTTGAAATTCGCCGGAAAATCTCCGTAGAGCGTCGGGGCTAGGGATTGCCGCGAGTCTTTGGAGCTCTCCCGAAATATCGCTGCTGTAAGCAGAGAAATCGCTGAACGCCTGTGAAAGATCAGCAAACTCCCCGATCTCCTCGCTCTTGTTTATATTTTCACCATTTTTCTCGCTGGAGAGCGAGAATCCAGTGGATCCCGACGGAAAATCCGAGATCGGGTCGTTTTGTTGCCAGGAAAAGGAAGACCTCCGGGTTCGCATAGATCGAGGAGCTGGTTTTTGAGTATTCAGGGTTAGGTTTGAGGAGGAAGCAAAAGAAGCGGAGGCATTATGTGATGTTTCACAGAGAGAAACCATGGCAGCCGCTTTCAAAGAAGAGAAGCTTTTGGCGTGGGCATAAGCGCCTGTGGTTTTTAATGGAGGACAGCAGGCAGGAAGTTAGGGATTGTGCCACAAAATGCAGATTTGGTGTTTATAGAGATTGGGAAGAATTGCAGAGAGTAAAGGCAGGAAGAGCAAGAGTCCTGCCGCCACAGAAGGAAGCGGGTGGAGTCACTCTGAGTGAGTAGAGAGAGAGAGAGTTTAGAGAGAGAAGGGGGGCGGGAGAAAGCGATGGGGAGGGAGAGGGGGAAGTGGAGTGGTCCTTTTTGTAGCGGTCGGCGTGTGCGGAAAGTGTCGGCTCGATCAGCTCCAGTTGAGTTGAGCTCAATAATTTCGAGTCGCCATTCGGCACACGCATTTGACGAATTTTTTGCTCTCCTTTAATTGAACGTGTTTGGGATTATGTGTACCTGGTGACAACGTTTTATCTTTGGTGCAAGGCCATAATCGCTTCAATGGTCAAGTCCATCGCATACCATGCTCCTACATTGTTCATCTGTTTCTTTGGTTAAACACCTACTTTGTTTTAAACATTTAAGGGTAACTTTTCATTTATGGGATCAAAAATTACAATAACTACTTTTCATTGAAAGACTTTTTAAATACCAAAACCACTTAAAAATTTCGCTAGATGATTATTGAGAACGTTTATGATAATTGATTGTTGATAACTTGGGGTATGCTATAGAATTACATTTCTTTTAAAACAAACTTTGAACCCATGAATTGCATAATACCAAGTGTCTTTAGCTATTAGTTATGCCAAAAGACACTCTAATTTTGCACGAGTATGTTGTCCATGTGATCCCTCGGATTAATCCCCCACCTTGAATTAATTTTATGACCTCAAATTTTGGGGATATAACCTCCTCGTTAACTTCTAAATAAGTTTCCTAATTGTAACTTTAAGGACTTAAAAAATAATGTCTCCAGATTGAATAGAGACCATTTAATTTTTATATGGCGAGATCTAGGTGTTATAAAAATCAAAGGAAATTATAGCAAATATACCTATATTTTAGGAAAATTGGAAAAAAAAAACCTCAAACTTTCAAAAAACTCCTCTAAACCCTTTTTCACTATTTTTGGATTTTTTTGGACGAAAATATCCTTCACGGTAGTCTTTTTACCGTAATATATATGGCAAATTTTATGGTAATTAAAATATTGTAAAACTTTGGCCTAATTACAGTACTTTAAGTACCGTAAAAACTAACCCATGTTATACGACACTTAAAATTCTGTAAACCCATGTTATATGACACTTAAAATACCATAAAACTCATTACACGACATTTTAAGTTCCGTAATACGACACTTTAAATGCTATAAACCTTTTTCTTCTTCTTTTATATTTATCTCTTTCATATCTAATTTTATCTCTTATTTCTCTCTCTAATTCTTTTTAATATTTATCTCTTCTTTCTCCCTCTGATTATTTTTTATCTCTTCTTTCTCTCTCTAAATCTTTTCTCTCCTAACTGGGATATTTAGCCGTGTCCAAATTGGTTCATCTGAGTAATCAAACACCGACTTCGGCTATATTTTGTTATGCAAAACAGATGACATGATCTATTTAAAGAAACAATGATGAGATTGTAGAGAGAGAAAGAAGAGGTAAAAAAGAATTAAAGAGAGAAAGAATAGATAAATATTAAAAATAATTAGAGAGAAATAATAGATAAACATAAAAAGAATTAGAGATGAAAGACATAAATATTATTTGATGATAAATATTATCCAAGGAAATGATGATGAGATTGTAGGGAACTACAAAGAGAAAGAAAAGATAAATATTAAAAAGAATTAGAGAAAAAAAAAAAGATGAAATTAGAGATGAAATAGATAAATATAAAAAAATGAGAAAATGGTTTATAGCATTTTAAGTGTTGTATAACTGGGTTAGTTTTTACAGTACTTAAAATGTCGTATAGTGGGTTTTAGTTTTTATGGTACTTAAAGTACCGTAATTGGCTTCACGTTCATAGCCAGAGTTTTACGGTACTTAAAGTACCGCAATATTACTTAAAAGTTTTACTGTATTTTAATTATCGTAAAACTTGCAATATATATTACAGTAGAAAGATTACCGTGAAGGGCATTTTCGCCCAAAAAATCCGAAAATAGTGAGAAATGGTGTAGATGAGGTTTTTGAAAGTTTGGGTTTTTTTTTTTTTTTTCTAATTTTATGAAAATATAGGTATATTTGCGATAATTTCTCAAAAATCAAATATCATTTTTTTTTTTATAATAATCATTTAGTAATTCTTAAGCGGTTCCCAAAATTTTAAATTGAAAAAATCCTCTCAAGTAATCTTCTGATAGAGGGAGTAAAAGTGAACAATACACTTGAGGGAGCATAATATATGTGCATATTAGCTATGGTGACTTCTTCTACCAAAAGTAAATAGTTCTATTGTATACTTTTCTATTTTATATATGTACAAAAATAAATGATTTTATTATTTCATATATTTATTAGAAAATCGATTCGGTTTTATTCTAGGGAGGTCAATAATTAAGGCTTTTTTGAGAAGTTTAGGGGAAAGAAAAAAGACCTTTTTATATAGTCTTTATTGATTTAGAAAAAAATGATAGGGTACCTAGAAAGTTAATTTGGTGAGTGTTAGAAAATAAAGGAGTATATAGATGATATATAGACATGACCAAAAATATGTAGGAGGCAGAGCTAACTAGTGTAAGGACAACTAATGGAGATCCAATTGATTTTCAATGATAGTAAGCATACCTCAAGAGTCAGCATTAAGCCCATATCTCTTTGTTTTTATTATGGATAGGTTAACTTAGCATCTATAGGATGAGATATTATGCTGTGTATTGTTTGTGGATGACATAGCTTTGATTGATGAGGCTGGGGTCAACATTAATGCAAAGTTAGAACTTTGGAGGGATGCTCTTGAATCTAAAAGTTTTAAAATCATCCGAAGTAAAACAAAATATATAAAATAAAAGTTTAGTAATGATAGAAGCAGAAACACAGAATTAGTTAAGATTGACAGCAAAAAAGTACAAAAAAGATATAATTTTTCGATGTCTTGGGTCGAAAATCCATAAAAATGGAGAGATTGAGGATGATGTTATGTATAGAATTAGAACTAGGTGGAAGAAGTGGAGATGTGCTTTTAGAGTCTCATGTTATCATTGCATTCCAATGAAATTGAAAGGGAAGTTCTATAGGACGACTATAAGACTAGACATGTTTTATGAAACATAACATCGGGCGATTAAGAAATAACATATCCATAGAATGAGTGTAGCTGAGATGATGATGTTGAGATGGATGTGTGGCAAGGCAAAAATGATAGAATTTAGAATGAACATTTCGAGAAAACTTAAGGGTAGCTCTCAAAAGCAAATAAGATGAGGAAAAATATATTTAGGTCGTCAGGCAACGTTGACCTAGAACAACAACGGTTATGAAGGATGATTTGGTTCAAGTGGAACGTTCTAAAAAAAAAAGGGAAGACCCAAAAAAATGGATGAAAGTAATGAGCAAAGATATGGGGACTTCTAGTTTGATTGAAGATTCGGTCCTTGATAGATGAGAACGGTAGAACAAGATTCAAATATTCGACTCCAAACATTTGGGATAACGCTTAGATGATAATGATGACGATGATATACAAAAAGGTTAATATGACTTCCAAAATGAAAATAAACTTGTGTTGGTCAAACTAAGTCAAGAACTATGAAGTGGTTAAATCCACGGTGCTTACATTGAAAATAGAGAAAATATCTCTGTACACTCTGTTTTGGTGTACCATTTTTTTCATATACGTAGGGTTTTAAAAACTTTCTAGCAGCATTGGATTTTTAAAAAATATATTTTCTATCCCCTTGGACCCAAATTACCTCTTTTGATGACTCGTTTTTTATCCAAACAAAAACTAAAGGGTGCAATTTGTATAGAGCCGAGGCTCTAAACAATCAAAATAAAGCACACCTTCAAATAGTATCGATAAATGTGGTTTCAATACTGAAAATCTTTGTGATAGCCTTAAAATATATTTGCAACTTTAATTATAAAATTTAAAGCTTAAAAAATAGTGTAGATCGAGCAGATCTATGAAAACTTGAAAATCTTGAAAATTGTCGATTGAAATTTTTTTTCAAGATGCACTATTTCCAAACCTTGAAATCCTTTTTTTTCTCATGTCCATGCATATTGATGTCGAGACGATCAATTTGAAGATATTTGGGCATCATAACAACCTCTTCTAGTGAAATTTTTTAGGATTTGATTGTTTAGAGCCTTGGCTCTATATAAACGTTTTCCAAAACCAAATGAAAACCTCTATCTATCTACTGAGCCTCTCAGCCTCTCTATACATCTTTACTTCTCTCTCTTAATAATCTCTCTATATAAGAGAGAGAGTAACACGTTATAGAGAGAGAAAGAAATAAAGACATTTATAGAGAGGGGTTTAGTTGATAGATAGAAGTGCCCTTTCAGTTTTTGTTTGTACAAAAAAATAACGGTAAAAAATTATAAATTCTGTCCCGAGAGTTAGAAGATATATTTTTTAAATGGTGCGGTTTCTATAAGGTTGAAACCTTAAACAATCCAATTAAGGCGCACCTCCAAATTTTATCATAACATGTAATTTTGGTGTAAAAAATTATCAGGATTGTCTGAAAATCTATTTTGATATCTAATTATAAAATTTTAAGTTCTAAAAATGGATGGTCCATAATTGTAAAATTTTAAGTTCTAAACGCATGAAAATCTTGAAAATGGATAGTCTACATAATCTATTGCAACGTGCACTATTTCTAAGACTCAAGATCATTTTTTGTTTCATATTCATACATCTCCATATTGAGATGATCAATTAGAGGTTTTTTCAACATTAAAACAACATTTTCTGATGGATTTTTGAGGTGCATCTTTAATTTTACATTTTAAAGTTGCCACCCGATATAAACTTTTTCCTTTTTGAAAAGAACCTACGTCGCCAAATAGTTTTTAAATATGCTAAAAAACCCAAATAAGTAAATTTTAAATACCCAAATAGCCCCTCATTCAAATTTAGAACTTAGGAAAAATTTTCCTTTCATGAAAACACATATTCGTTATTCCTAAACTTGCGTGACACGGGTAGACTCAACATTTATCTCAAGTTGTGAACTCAGAAGTCGGAGTTTTTAACAAAATGATAATGAACTACCCCTATGTTTCAAGGTTAGAAATAAGTGATACAATGAGACCATTTATTTTTGGTATAAAA